CAAAAGAACAATTAATATGGCCATTTTTAGTTTTTTTTTTTTTTTTGTTATTTTCAGCCAAATTTATTCAATAAAACCTTAATTTAATAATTATTTTTCAAATTAAATAACTTAATTTTAATTAAAAAAAACACTGTTTTTAAGACGTTAAGCGAGAATATTTTAAAATTACAGCTTTAATTTATGAAAAAATATATAAAAAATATAATTCAGCTTGCAACTATATAGCAACAATCTAATAACTTAGGCCTATATATATATAAAATATCAATAGATAATTATGTAAAGTGTACTCAGCATGAGCCTTAAGCAAAATCGTTAGAACAAGATCCTATCTGGATTTTTGTATTCATCTATACAAAAAAACATTCTGATATAATGAGATGTTATCTCGAGGTTAACGTACTTCATCTCTGAAACTTTAGGCCTTATAACAGCAGATAATATCGAAAAAAAATGTTAAAAATAGCAAATTATTTTATTGTTTACACAAATTATCATCTTATTTCCTATAATAAGAAGTTTAAAATTTAAGAAAATTTAAGTAAGTTAATTCCTGGTAAAACAGTACCAGGAACTGCTTCTACGATTTCCTATATATATATATAGATTTTTTTTTATTGTTTATTTTAGCTTTTTAAAGCAAAAAAAAATGTAATCAAAATTCGTTAAAAACTTTAATTAAATTAAATATTACATTTATAATACTGTAATTTGTAGAAAAATATAGCCTATAAAAATGTTGGCATTGCTCGAGAGCGCTAACTGATGTCTATCACTTCGTTACAACAGTTTTGCATATCTACACACATTTCATTCTCTCCAACACTCGATTCTGTAGATGATAAATTACCATCAGCAGTCCTACTTTGAGCTTCTCTAACAAATTCTTGAAGCCTTCTAGCCACTTCTTTCCTTTCTTCGTTCTTTTGGAACGATATGACACAATAAGGGCTCACGTGCCTGACTGTCTCCTCGTTGTACACCATATTAGGATCACCCAGCGATATGTTGGTAGTGACGATGACCTTTTGAGTCACGGGATTGATTTTCTTGAAGACATTCAACATACTCCAGTTCCAGATAGAATTGGCGGAGGTGAAAGTTGAGAAACAGGCCACTATGGTTTCGAGTATGGTGTTGATGATGACGTTGGCTCTGATGCTAGCAATCATCCCCGGGCCTCCGTAAATCACGTGCTGACGGATGATGGCCACTAGAGTTAGTATTAGAAGGATTAAAGCCGATATCAATGATACGGCAGACAACAGGAACAGTAACTTGCGATAGCGCTTCCTGTACGGATATTTCCACACTAAAATGGAAGACAGACCAGTGGAAACGAATAGCAGACCGAAAAATATTTCTATGCCTGATTCCGAACTTATAATTAGTCCTAAAGTGCCCATAGTTATGGCTACGGAACCGAATAGAAGGTGTAATATTCCTAAACCTAGCGTGGCATCCTCCCTGGACGATAGGCTGTTATCCCTGGATGTTGGAAGGGTTCCTTTGACTTTAATAACATAAACTTCTTCCATAACTATAAGAGTAAACAGTAAAATCTTCGGCGTTAAATCCTATCGAACATTACACCAACTTTAATTTAAAAATTTACCGTATTAATTAAAGAATACAAACCTTTGTTTACTCAACAAACACAATACGAACTGTAGTAAACGGCGGCATTAGCTGAATTATCCATTAAGAACGTAGCGAATCAACTAGCGGCATCAACGTTTTGTTAGGAGTAAAGACGATCTGGGTCAGTTGCAGTAGTATACATCAATGTCACGCTAGGACGGTTGTCGTCCGACAAGACCCTTCCACCAAATTCTCGGTTTTAAATGAGGATAGAGCAACCAAGTGAGACTCCGTTGGATTGTCACGCTTGACGACATCCTGCTACACAACATCCAGGACTCTGACCTGTAACCCTGGCAATATTGGAAAAATCGCCATCTTTTCTCCATTTTAAACCGAAAAAACCAATACACGAAAGCTTAAAAAGGGTTTTTTTTATTATTATATAACACATAAACGTACATTTTATATAGTAGAGCCATTGTTTCTGTAGTGTACGTTCGAAAACGAAACGCGTGTAAGTTAAATTACCATCAGCACGAGTGTAATATCTTTGTTTTTTTTTTAAATTATTTTTCTGTTTTTAATTTTCGTCTGCTTATAGACTATTCATTTCTGGTTTTATATTTTTCTTCTTTTCTTTGTTTCCTGCTGGCAGTAAAGGTGACCAAGCACATGTCGAATAGGCCATGCATTCATGTGATAGCCAAATGTTCCGTTTCGTTGAAGTTTACTAGATCGATTCCACGTTTCCAGTCTTAAAAATTATTATTTTTTTCGAGGAAACAATAAGGTAAAATATAAAAAATAGCGTGTACTTTTATATATTTTTAGCCTTAAACTTTACATTAAAAAAAATTCTGAGTGTTATTAAATGAATACACTCGAGTTTTATTTGAATTTGTGTGTATGTGTGTTTGCTTTTGTTTGTTTATCCTATTTTACAGAACGAGATTCGATTGTCGCCTGCGTAAAGTATACGTTCAGAGTGTTACTATTTGCAAGACAATATCTCTTAGAAATGTTTTACTTTCATTCTCGATAAAAATATAAAATTAGCTTCTACGACGAAACGTTTAACGATTTTCTTAATGTAAAAGTTGTGCCTTTCATAGAACCTGTTTGCTTTATTACACTTATTAAAGCGCTTATATCGAAATAATGTTATTAAATTCCATGCCATTTTAATATAAAACATTTTTCGATTCGTTTGCTTATTCAGAATTTAATAATTCGTAATTTTTCTGTATGAAATGAATCATTATTTACTCCCAAAAATAGCCTTGAGCTCTATACACAAACTCTGACTCATACCTTTAATGCAGGTTTAACGTTTGTAAAGGTCTAAATTCTAAAATCTGACCTCGAAAATTCTAAATAATCTCGTTATATTCCGGTTAATAACTTTAGAATTTTTTTTTAAAATGTATAAATTCTTAATGTACAATACATTCTGATTTATTACCTAAATTTTATCGTAACTGTTATGTATGATAGGGTAATATCCTGTCGTGCATTCTATTATACCTATATTTAATAGTAACCTATATACAGGCCTGGCTCAAACGTCAGTTTTTTGGGCCTCGGGTCGTGGCGTCGCGCTTTTTAATTTCTAAGAAAAAATAAATTCTTTTTCGCAAATTAGTTTGGGACTTGCTAATAGATTTTTCCCGAGACCCATAAAACTCCATCCTCTACATTTCTACGTAAAATTATGAATGTTTCGAGTTTGTCACATACAAAACTGTGCCCAAATATCCAAAACATTATACATGTTGAAGTATTATTTGGGTGTAGTTAATAGGAGTACAGTATATGTGATATAGGAGTACAGTATATGTAACTCCTATTAACTAATTTAATTAACTAGTTATGTTCTATGACTAAAAACAACATGGCGTTTAACGTTAAAATAATATTATCTAATTGATTTAGCTTATACAGGTAATTAATCGGTGAAAGTTTGTTCTTTGTAATCTATAATACCAATGAGGGTTTTGTTTTCACGTTCGAGTGGCGATACTTTCCGAAGTCCATTATTGTGGGAGGAACTGTTATAAATGATCCAATATGCGCGATTAACACCGCTTTTATTCTATTAAACTTCACCATTTACATCAAAATCCTTAATTCGTATTCTCGTAAATGTTTTCTACTTCCCCTATTTAATTTCTATCGGCAATTGTAACCGTGAGTCTACATTTTTAGCCATCGAAGAGAACGGCAAAAAGAGAACGGAAGAGTGAACACACCCTTAATGGTCCTATCGGTCACGTGATAGTTCGTTAACCGGGGTCACGTCACATGACCATACGCGAATTTATAACTTTTTATGGAATAATTGGGTTACCAATTTTGTTTCCGCGGTCTATTTAATTCGGATTGGTTTAATACATTAGGAGTCGACGCTCCCCGAAAATAATTTACTAATTTTACAATTTGAATTTAATTAGTATTAAATTAATTAAAAGTAAAAAAATATACGTATCTTAAATTATCATTTATCAATTCTTATTTCGGATGTTTTTCAGCTGGCAACACGATTCACGTCGCCATCTTGCGACGGAAATATCATTGGAAACATGGTGCTTGTGTTAATGCCAAGGTAGAGATAATTCAGTTAAAATTTATTAGTTTATAAACTGATGAGAAAAATATAAATAAAATACACTTTTTGGGGCTCAATTGCAGTTCTGAATAAGGTAGTTAAGACCTTATAAGAGTTGTAGATGATGCCAATAGGAGTAAAACAAAGGAACCGATGGTACACGTGACTCGCGTAGTTATACACGTAGGAGGTCGAAACTCCTCATTCAGAACTGCAATTTTACTGATTTATAAACAAACATTTTTCTTTAGTCAACAATTGAATAAAATCATAAAAATTATTCTAAAAACTCAGAACATTATTATTTTTTAGGTCACTTCAATATCTCATCATAACTCTTCAATTTTCTTGAAGTATCTTCATCTTTCACATTAAATTGCAATTATGTCATCAAAATCAAAGACGAAATCTGTAGAGATTGATCCAGATCTTGGGAAGAAGTTATTCGAAGAGGGAGCGACATTTATCTTTCTAGATGTACCACCTGGAACCGAATTCGGTATAGACATGAGTGTTTTCTATGTTGCGGATAAGTTCAGAGGAGTTAAAATGATACCACCGGGTTTGCATTTCATCTACTACAGCGGAGTGAGTAAATATGGACAGTCTGCACCTCGCACTGGCTTCTTTCATGTGTTTTCCCCGAAAGAAGTATTGGTTAGGAAGTGGAATAAGTTTGATGAAAGTAGGTTTTATTTTAGTAATGGTCAACCTGTGATTTTTCATGCAATTTTATGTTTTGTGTATTTTTAATAGCCATGAGCGAAGAGATTGTAAATAGCGAAGAAACGGAAAGATTTCGTTCAAATTTGAAAGATATGGATCGGTTTCTTGGTGCGTATCCTTACAAGATGTGGAGAAATTGGGTTGCTCTAACTAGTTACATTACAGGTAATTTTAACTGTTTGTTCTTTACACTGTTTTTATTCAGATATAGAATTCAATATAAGCCACAAAGATGGAAAAATGAGAGCTGTTGGATCTTAACCATTGTTTTGGAAACCACCCAACAGTCAATAATTAGAATCTAAATGTTCTGCAAAATGAAATAACTAATCTGACAGTTGCCAAATGAGTTTGAATTACAGTAATATGTTGATTATAGTGTTGAAAAATTGATTACATAGAGTACTAATTCCAGAAATTATGAAGTTTTTACACAATGATTGCCAGCAATCTTCTGTAGGCCTGGGTGTCAGGTTATTTTGTTATCAGCACTAGTTAGGTTTTATTTTTATGGTACAAATAGAAAAGCATGGGTTTTTAATGCATCAATTGCTTCATTTTGCTTACACACTGAAGCATTTGATGCATTAGAAATGACATCGAAATAGTTAGAAATGCAACCTTAAGCAGATTTGTCAACTCTTGATGACAAAGCAAGCCAGGGAATTATAAATAAATAAAACAAAATAAGTGACTACTTTTGAAAAACGAACTGTAATAAATAATTTTTATGAGTACTGTACTTTGAATTCAAAGTTATTAAATAGTAAAAAGTAGTAGTAAAATATCATCAGTACATTGTAGGTTACAAAGAAAGACTAGTTCTTGTTTTTAATAGATTTTTCATTATGCTTTAAATTTAACTTTTTTTTTTTTAACTATTGTACTAGAATTCAAATTAATATTTTTACTTTAATCCTTTAATCTTTCTCTACCAAGTACAGTCAGTTATCTGAAATTGTCCTGCCCCAGTTATTTCAGATAATCAAAGATATGCTCTGCCATATTTATTTTATTTTTTAGATTAAATTTACTCAATAGATAGAATATTTGAACTATTCCACAATACTAGATTATCATGTGATAATTAGAGTTGCCATTTTTTCCATCTTTGTTAAAAGCTTCCAATTTTTTTCAATTTAGACTTTTTAAAAATTTACATTTATTACCCAGTTATATAGATAAGAGTTTTTAATAATTTACATATGTTAATTATACCAATCTTTATAAACAAATATTATTTTTGTAGAACCTGTTCTGAAAAGCATGGAGCCGGAATCTGGGATAGTATGCTCTGTATCACAGTTTGTTCCCGAAACATTTTTAATGTCCAAAAATAATCCAGAAATGGAAACTGATCAAATGGCAGCATCTACTTCAAAGACAGAAGATAATCTTCCAGAATTAAAACTGGTTCCTGGCACAATGCTTAGATTTACTAAAATTCCTTTAAGAAAGTAAGTATACTTTGGAATAAATTCGTAAAGTTACAGTGTAATTTAGTGTCATATTTATTTATAGACATCCAGAAGGAGCGTCTCCTACTGAAATTACTAAACATAATATGGACTCTACATATTTACTAGAGCAAGTTCTTTTGATGTATGAGAAACCTGAAGATATTTTAGCAGAACTGCAACTGTCATTTGTTTGTTTTTTGGTCGGACACGTGTATGAAGCCTTTGAACAATGGCAAAAGTTAATTAGAATATTATGTAATAGTGACACTGCTTTGAAACTGTATGGAGAACTGTATCTCAGTTTTATTGTTGTTGTTCATTTTCAACTGAAAGAAATACCCAAGGACTTCTTTGTTGATATAGTATCAAGTAGTAATTTCCTCACCACCACTTTTCAAATCTTTTTCTCGAATTTAGAAAACAGTACTGCCGACGAAGCCTTACGTTCCCGTGGTAGGAAATTCAAAGAGAGCCTGACAAAGATTTTTAAGTGGGATTTTGAGAGTGAGCCAGATGACTGTGCACCAGTTATAGTAGAAACTAGTCAATGAATGTTTTGTCATGATTCATTTTTGTGTATATTGATATCATAATGATGTATTATTGTAAAATTTTTACTTTTAATCAACGAAAAACATTGAATTCATATCTTAGTGTAAAATTCAACATACAAAATTGCTAGGTAAACCTATTGCCATGATTACAGTTTCATAAATAAATATTCCAGTTAAAATTATTTGAACATTTTTGTTGGCCTTTATATATAACAATTCAGATTTTTTTCTTTCATTGATCTGTCTCCTCCATTTCGACTTCTATGGATATGGACATACTAGTTTCACTGGGACCTTCCCCGTGTCCACTCTCATCTCGAACAGAATGACTTAAAAGAGAAAATTCATACGAAGGAAGTTCTTCGGGCACATCTAAGCAAGATAAACATAAAAACAATTTAAACGAATATTCAATTAACCAAGTTTTCATATAGCTACTTACCTTCGCACGGAGTAATTACATTCATAAGATTCTCTATTACATAAGTTAACATGCTAGTTGAGAAAGTATCATCTTTTTGTAATCCCAAAGCCTGAAAGTGAATTTAAAAAGTTTTAAATAAGATTGCAAAAAGTCTAAAAATAGAAACACATTAAAAACCTTATGAAAATATTCTACAGCAAGGGCCCAGTTTTTCATTAAGCTATGAACGTAACCAATTGCTGATAACGAAGATGGATTTTGAGGTGCTAGAACTAGAGCCTGTTGATGAAACTCTAATGCTTCTTCATATTTCCTGAAAATAATTTGAATAAAAAAGTTTGCATTATAAATAGAAGTTTGATTTTTAATATCTTAATTTGAAAAAACAGTTATATACTTGATTTTTCGACAAGTATGACCTAAATTATTCAATAGTGGTTCCCATTTCTCTGGAAGAACTGTTTGTCCACTAGTCTGTACTTTTTCAAGTGCTTCTCTAAAATATTTTTCTGCATTGGTATAACTGAAAAAATTGCAAATGCACACATTTTTTTAAAGACAAATAAAACTGAGCACATTATATTCTTTTAAGTAATTTATAGTATTTGAAATCCTTAAAAAATACAGATCATCTTATGATTAGAAAAACTTTTATGTATTACATCCATCCAAAACATCATATTAGCCGAGTTTCCAGATTATCTGAATCAAATGAGTGTCTTTATTTCAGATAATTCGGATTCTACTGGCTCTATTTTTGCTTTACTAAAAGTATCTATACCTCAATGATGCTGTTTAGAATATTAAAATGAAGTACTGTATCTTTACTGTTTAAAAGTAGTTTGAGTTTCATCAAATATAATTTGGAAAAAAGGAAATCAATAAGATTTTATTTAATCCTAAGGATTTAGAACACTTGCAAAATTTTTCAAAAGAACAATTAATATGATAATGCTCTGATAAACTCAAAATATTGACAGTTAAGACAAGAAAGAACATTTTTTTTTTTTGTATAGTATTGTATAACAAAAAAACAACTAGTACACTTGAAGTCATAGATTATTCTGCACTCCTTCAGCCCAGAACTGATATCTAGTTCTAAAATTAACACAATGCTGAAAAGTCAACTCTGGATGCAAACCATGTTTTCTATTATTCAGTGAGACATCAGCGCAGTGATAAAACTTGTTCCATATTTTAGCTCGCTCGCAGGCATCTCAAAACACAAAATTTCATTAGTGAGGCTGAGGAGCACTAGCATTTTGCTAAGACAACGAGCAAAGTATGATGGCACCATGTTTGAAGGTTTTAATTGAACTAGGAGATCAAAATTTTCTTTTAAATATGGATGAAAGAACTTACAACAGTTTTTGAACAGGAAAAAATAAACATATTTTTAACTTTTATCTATGTGAAAGAGTTTGACAGGCATAACTGTCCTTTCATCTTCATATGTCAGATATGTAGACTGAATTTCTTAGTTACCTCATTTGTATCTTGATTTTAGATATCAAGTAATATAATAATTAGCATTATATAATATAACCCACATGTCAAAACTTTCAGCAAAACCATTATATATATATATATTTATTTTATTATCTATTTTATAATGCAATCTATGGCATGTTTGTACTCACAGCACATTGTTTTGTGTACCTTCATAATTTATCACTATTGCTTGGTAAAGATCTTGTGAATGAAAGTAATTATTTGCCAAGTATAATTTTGTTTTAATACTAGTAAATGATTCATATTTTCATTAGGAACAGCAACCAATATCAAAACTTATTTTAAAAAACTCCAGACATCATTTGGTGCAGCTGATCTAGGCTTGCGTGAAGGCACAGACATTCTAATTGGAGACAAAAGTTATAAAAAGTATGATGGCTGAAAATAATGGAACCTTCAGTAAGTGTATTTAATCTGAAAAATCATTAATTGATAACTTCCATGCAAGTAGAATGAAATTGTAGGACATTGTCATCAATAATGAGAATTTGTTCTCCGCATTCTAAAAACAATCACACTGATCTACAAGATTACCCTGTTGTGGTCAGCTCTCCAGATCCTTCAAAAACATGCATAATAAAAGTAACGATAAATTGTGATGTGTATAAATGATTTCAAATATTTACCAGATCTTGAAAATTAATTTAAAGTATTTGCTTGCAGCAAATACTTTAAATTAATTTTCAAGATCTGTTACTTTATATACTTTAAATAGACCCAGGCAGCAGTAAAGCTGCTAATATCAGCTAGAACATATTTGGACGATGACTTTCAAAAGTTCCAAGTAAAAACAAAGCTTTGGGCTAAAATAGCAGATAATTATGCAAAGAGGGTTTTAAATTTATAGGTTCAGATTGTGACCGCAAGTGGAGTAATATCATGATTACACACAGCAAAAATATTGATAAAAGCAAGACATTTTGAGAAGGCAAAATACAATGGGGAATATTTTAAAGAATTGCATGAAACTCTTGGTAGGGATATTAACACAAATCTGCCAATTAATTATACAAAATCTTCATCAAAAATCAATTTCAAAAGCACAGCTTTTATGAATGAACATACTCAAGGTTTGTTAACTGAAATTACCTGTGAACAAAACAGAGATTGTGTCAGTATTACAAGTACTGAACATTTGACAGCTCAGGTAAATCCAGCTTCTGTAGCCGCTCCAACTTCTTGTGCAGTTATTGGATAATGAAAATGATTGTACAACTATTCTCAAAGAAAAAGATGAAAATGCATTAATTAAAAGTAAAAAAAGAAATTGAAATCATAAAGATATGAAATGAAGGGATAAGAGAGAAAAAAGATGAAAGATGGCAGCAACATAAGGAATTGGATATTGGAAAAACTAGTTGAATTGTTACAAAATGTATCAAAAACAAATTCAAAGTAAGCAAAAACACATTAACTTTAATAAAATTTTTATTTCCAATGTTGACATGAATCATTTGTACATTTTTTCTTAAGAGAATAATGTGAATTTAATTTACTGCAGGTAGACCATAAGTATTATTAATAAAACCTCTCTGCCCATATATACTGCACTCTTACAGTCAAACTGTAATAAATTACTTAAAATTTGAGGAGTTGCGAAATTAACCAGTTTATGCAGGAGCTCTAGATGTTTTAAAACATGTAGCAGCACTAATTAGGTTCTATTGTAAGTAGTCTGAACTTAACTTATTATAATATGTCATAATATAGAGGTTACCAATGAATAGGCCAAAACATATTTTGTGTGGACCACAATAACTGCCCAATTTTTCTTGGACTGTCTGACTACAGACATGATTTCCAATGAGCATGACACATTGCACTAAAAGCCAGACGCATCACATGCAAAAAATGGAGAAAACGTTATCTTAATACACACTCCTGGATGGTAAAAAATCATTTATTTAGCATAAGACAAAAATTCAGCTAATTCTTAAAACAATTCTAACCAAAAATGGATTAAATGTTTTACTATTTTATAACAATTATTTATCTGAATAAATATAAACTATAACAAGAAAATATGATGATTATTTTTGTCATGATTTGCAGTAAAAAGATAATATACACACTCTAAATTAAAAAGGTAATCTGCAATTTGATCTCTTTTACGTGCACCACTGGAATTTTTATCAATGATCATATGCAACAGGTGTAGAATCATTATGCATAATACATATATTATGTAGAATGCAGGCAGCTACATTCACATCTGGAACAAATTCCCTTCGTATGTAAATGTAAATTAGCTTCCAAAATCATCCAAACAGATGTGCAAAGGCTTGTTCTATTATGATTCACATAGAACTCACAATTGTATTGAAAAACTTCTGCTTTCTTGTTAAATGGCCATTGTTTTTATATGGTGTCATTATTTTATTATTCAATGGGTAGGCACAGTCACCAAGAATATGACAGTTGAAGAATAAAATCCTCTTTCTCTTCCACATTTTAAATAATGGGCTGTTCCTAAAAACTCTAGCATCATTTGCAGAGTCTGGCCAACCTGCATAAATGTCCAAAAATTTTAACTTATGATCACATATGGCCAGTAGGACTACACTAAAGGTAACCTTTTCTATTTATATAATCTTTTTTTTTTTCTTTATTCACAGAAAAGGCAATATGGGTGTAATGCAATCTATGGCATGTTTGTATTCACAGCACATTGTTTTGTGTACCTTCATAATTTATCACTATACTTCATAATTGTTAAAGATCTCGTGAATGGAAGTAATTATTTACCAAGTATAATTTTGTTATAATACTAGTAAATGATTCATATTTTCATTAGGAACAGCAACCAATATCAAAACTTATTTTAAAAAACTCTAGACATCAGTACTAATAACTACTAGCACGGTTTCAAAGTACCAAAACTCTAGACATCATTTAGTGCAGCTGATCTAGGCTTGCGTGAAGGCACAGACATTCTTAATTGGAGACAAAAGTCATGGAAAGTAATTTCTGAAAATAATGGAACCTTCAGTAAGTACATTTAATCTGAAAAATCATTAATTGAAAACTTCCATGCAAGTAGAATGAAATTGTAGGACATTGTCATCAATAATGAGAATTTGTTCTCTGCATTCTAAAAACAATCACACTGATCTACAAGATTACCCTATTGTGGTCAGCTCTCCAGATCCTTCAAAACCATGCATAATAAAAGTAAAGATAAATTGTGATGTGTATAGGATAGAGCAACCAAGTGAGACTCCGTTGGATTGTCACGCTTGACGACATCCTGCTACACAACATCCAGGACTCTGACCTGTAACCCTGGCAATATTGGAAAAATCGCCATCTTTTCTCCATTTTAAACCGAAAAAACCAATACACGAAAGCTTAAAAAGGGTTTTTTTTATTATTATATAACACATAAACGTACATTTTATATAGTAGAGCCATTGTTTCTGTAGTGTACGTTCGAAAACGAAACGCGTGTAAGTTAAATTACCATCAGCACGAGTGTAATATCTTTGTTTTTTTTTTTTAAATTATTTTTCTGTTTTTAATTTTCGTCTGCTTATAGACTATTCATTTCTGGTTTTATATTTTTCTTCTTTTCTTTGTTTCCTGCTGGCAGTAAAGGTGACCAAGCACATGTCGAATAGGCCATGCATTCATGTGATAGCCAAATGTTCCGTTTCGTTGAAGTTTACTAGATCGATTCCACGTTTCCAGTCTTAAAAATTATTATTTTTTTCGAGGAAACAATAAGGTAAAANTGGGAAAAAGTTTCAGAAATCAAAAATTTTTATCATTGTTAGATTATTAAGAGTATTACAGATTAAAATAAAACCAAAATATATCTTTTGTCACTCACCTCGACGGTACTTCTTGTTAAACAAAAATGGCTTTTGAAAATATCGTCACTGTATTTAGGCAGGACATAGCCATATATTTTGGACCTATCTTCCCAATATTCCTTGTTGGAATCAATTGAAGCTATTAAAAACGAATCTTGTAGCTCATTGTAGTCATTTCTGAAAAAGCTAGAATTGGGATTTATGACAGATTCCAAACAAATACTCAAAACATTTATAGATGCTGTGAAAAGGCAATCTATTTTTATTAGTGGGATGCTCCTTCCCACTAATAAAAATAGTGGAAAGGAAGTTTGTTCCTTCTAACACATCAGCAGGAAATTAAATATTTCACATATCCGCTAGCAGATAGCAAGCACTACACTGAATAATGGAAAACATGGAAAAGTTCAAGCTGAAAATGGAGCAAAAAAAATCAAAACTTTTTTATGCATAAAATACAAAACTAGATTGAATATCTGGAAAAATGTCTCACCCTAAATGGTGGTTATGTTGAAAATAACCAGGTACGATTAGTCTTAAAAAGTAGTAATTCTATTTCTTACCAATTTTATAAAAATGGAGATTTTATTTATCAATCAATTGTTGTAATATTCTGACAACTGAAACCTTTATACAATCAAAATAACCTCTGATAATCAATATTAACAACTTTGTCTTTGTTATAAGATATTTTAAATCTACATCCATCATTAGAATAGTTTTATCACATTAAAAACTATTATAATAATTTTTTATTATTAATTTGGAGATCATCTTTATTATGAAAACTTGAATTTGATTGCATAGGAAAGAGGTAAAGAACATTTTTTTAATTAATTGGAAGATATTACATCCTGTAAGGTCACATATTATATTGCAGATTGCATAACAGAACTCATACTCCAGTTTATTAACTTCAAAAGTGACTAATAGCAGAGTAATAATGAAGAATATCTAAATGATGATTGAAAAAACTATTTTATAAAACAAGATTATCCTCAACCATGGCATTTGGCCAGTTAATAGTAATGTGTGACACTGAATTGTTGTCACACATTACTATGGATATTTGTATATAAGCATTACTATTTAAGCAGTGAAATAGCATCAATTTGTCCTAAAAACTGTATAAACATATTGCATCATAACTGAACAGTATTCTCTGTCCTTCAGTTACAATTTGAATGGGGTCTGGTCACAACTTCATTTCAGAATTTTTTTGTTTTTCTCTCTCAGCATGTCCAGACAATACCTGAAATTCTTTGGCAATGTTTGTGAATCAAATACTTTGCAATAAGATATATGATCACCAATCCTCTCTCTGCCTGGAGATAAGGTGACCATTACAGTCAACTTTACCAAGCCAATAATCACTGTTAAAATGGCAGTTAGGCATCTTTAATATAAGAAAAACAACATCAAAAACACTTTATTGCAGTTACTGTCATTCACTGAGATCAACTATCAATAAACATTAAAAACAATCACTAATGCTAAACAGCACATGGAAAAAAAAAACAAATTAAGTGACAAAGCAAAGTAAAAAATGCATAATAATTGTAACAAATACAAAAATAATATTTGATATGATAGATAAGAGCAATACAGTATAACTCAATTATCCAGATTAATTGGGACTGACAGACATCTGGATTTGCAGAAAATTAAGATATTTGGATTTCTGTTTAAAGATACTAAGCTATCTTCAAAACATGGTCTATTTTCTTATATGTGGCTAATTTACATTATTTACCAATTGTAATACAGTATACAAGCACATAATCTTTTAAACTAATTTCGTATGTAAATGTAAATTAGCTTCCAAAATCATCCAAACAGATGTGCAAAGGCTTGTTCTATTATGACTCACATAGAACTCACAATTGTATTGAAAAACTTCTGCTTTCTTGTTAAATAGCCATTGTTTTTATATGGTGTCATTATTTTATTATTCAATGGGTAGGCACAGTCACCAAGAATATGACAGTTGAAGAATAAAATCCTCTTTCTCTTCCACATTTTAAATNTCTATTATCAGGACTTATTATACTGGTTTTACAGATAATATTACAAAGATTAACAGAAAACAATTTTTATTTTATTTCGTATACCTGGACACACACACAATTTTGCTTTTCGGACATATTCGTCCCTCCTCAGCAGGTATTTAAATAAGTTAATTTTCCAGTTCTCTTTAATTTCTTGCTCCACTGGATATTCAAATTTTATCAACAATATCGCAATTACAATTATTTTAAACATTTGTTCTCTTTCTGTTTGTCTCACACCTCAGGTGTGAGACAAACAGAATTGTAATTGTAATTGTAATTGTAATTGCGATATTGTTGATAAAATTTGAATATCCAGTGGAGCAAGAAATTAAAGAGAACTGAAAAATTAACTTATTTAAATACCTGCTGAGGAGGGACGAATATGTCCGAAAAGCAAAATTGTGTATGTGTCCAGGTATACGAAATAAAATAAAAATTGTTTTCTGTTAATCTTTGTAATATTATCTGTAAAACCAGTATAATAAGTCCTGATAATAGAAGATAGTCGAATTTATAGTCGAAAATTTACATATTAATAATTTATTTGTTATTGTTGAATACATTTCATCACAAAAATCAACACTTAGCTTCTTGATAATGATCTGGATAATTGCAGTTCAAATAAGTGGAATATCATATTGTAAACAAATATTAACATAATAAAAAGTTCCACCTAAAAAAACAAAAAAAAATTGCTACTGCAATCTGAGTGCAGCATAATCTTGCACCTCAGATATGCTGACTAAAAGTGACTTTGAAGGAAAAAAGTGATCCGGTATGAGGATTGGCATAAGTGCAGCATGGATGCTCAAAAAATATACATTATATTATACAGTAATACCCCGACTTAAGCGAACCCGGAGTTACGCAATTTTCAAATCTCATCGATTCGTCTTTTGTTTGAGTGCCACGCAACCCTCGATTACTCACTCCCCCCACACTATTGTTCAGCTTACGTGTTCGGACGTGTCACGCGGAATTGACACATAGCTACAATTTATTTTGTGTTATTTATTTCTGTGTTTGTTATATCTATGGAGACTTGAGAGACTCTACCATGTCATCCAAACAAAGTAGAACTAATTCTTCTGCATCAAACAAGAATAGAAAAACTTTATCTTTGGAATGTAAAGTTAACATTGGGTATGTTCGTAAAGTCGAAGGAGTTAAGCGAGAATGAAGTCATCGTTATTCCTATTTCGTTAGACTTTTCGAACGATTCGTTACTAATGCATTTAACTCATTATTATTAAAGACTTTGATACAAAAATGAAAATTTGTGAATTGGCAAAGAAGTTTGATCTACCGAAATTGTCGGTCAGAACAATTATAAAAGGCAAAGAAAAAATTCTCGAAGCTGTGAAAAATGCTCAATCTTTAAATTCAAGCATCATTCGTAAACGTCACAGTATTATTGCTGAGATGGAAACAATGTTAAAATTATGGCGTAATAATCAAGTAAATGTGAAAAATTGTAAAATAATATAGGCCTAATTTGTTATACATATGTATTATCTAAGATTTTATTAAATATTTTTTTCTAAATTATTGTTTTCTTTAGTCTTTGGCCCCAATTAATAATTATTTGTATGTATTTATATGCGAAATTATACCCCGTCTTACGCGAATTCGACTTATGCGGTTACCGCTCGGTCCCACCTATCACGTAAGTTCGGGGTATTACTGTATTCAAATAGATATCTTTATTAAAAAAAAAACAAATAAAACTTATTTCCATATTAAGCCATTTCATACTTTATCAGATATATAAGTCCAAGATTCTCATCTTTAACATAGGTATAATAAAATAAATTGTTTGTTTATTTTCTTAAGAAAAAAGAAAATTTTTCTTCTTATATTGATTTTAGAAAAATTTATTATTTTACTTACTCTTGACTCTGAAATGCTACAACACCAAGTTCATGAAGAACAAATGGATCTTCTGGGGCAATAGTTAATGCCTGATTGAAAAATCGTTCAGCCAATTTTGTATTGTTAGTAAGTCCATATTCTAAACCAATATATAACAGAGGAAGATGGCACCTAAATTCATAAAAATTTTTATTTTAATATTTATAACAATTTTTATAAAGTTACTGAAAGTATAATAATATATAAATACTGACCCTTTCATTAACTGTGAAGCTTTAAAATATGCCGCCATAGCTTGATCGTGTTCATTTTCTACAGCAAAAGAATGCCCGTACATCAACCAAGCTGGTCCAAACACACAATCAAGAGTTGTAGCTTTACTGAAAAATATTTGCATATTTCATCCGTATTCACACTAATAATAATATATTTAATTTATGAAAAAATTAATGTGTTTAAAGTTTTAATATTTTGAAAATGAAATATTTTAGAAGAGACTGTGGATCTAACACAATTGAAAAAAAATCCATAAAAGTAAATTAAAACTGTAGAAAGGAATGAAATATAAAAAAAGGCAAATCCAAGTTTGTAGAATTGAAATCAAAATACTAAAATATTCAATCGATTAGTAACTATTTGAAATCACCATGTCCATGATGAGTTTGGCCAGACTCATAATGGGATAGGTTGGATGGTGAAGAATAGGGCTGAATATATTTGGGACAGACTATCCAAGAAAAATTCCCAGGATTCTCCACTCAGATTTGATCCCAGATACCCAGAGCGACAGGCCGATGCCTTAATTTACTTGGCCATAAAGCTGGCATAATGAATATGTTCACTGATGATTATCATCATCATTCATCTCTTTGTCAGACAGTTTTAGATAAAAATTCTCTCTAAAATTATGAAGAATCTATTTTAAATTGAAAGAATATTAATGTATTTAGATGTCAATTAAAGCATGTAAATAGATAACATTCTAATTAAATGAGAGATTGGGTTAAAATATAATCTTGATTATTTACATAATTTAAAAATGCCACTAAAATTCATAAAGTAACAAATATTTTAGAACATTATTTGTTAATATAAGAAATCATATTTAATTCTCTTTCTGTAATTAATTATAAATATAATTTGATGACTAAAGAGAGCATGCCTGACAACAAGTATTGCCTCTATTTTTAGTAATCGTTTGAATAAAAAAATTATACAAACATATCTGATTTAAAATTGTAAAATTTTCATGAAAATATTCACACAAAATTTTATAATATAATTTATATTGTTGTTTTATGTTATCTACAGAATAGCATATGTAAATGCCATAATGTTACACTTGCATTATGAACTTAACTTACTAATTATTTTAAAAACTTACCTAAGATATCTTCTAGCTGTATCAGTTTTGTTAATAAGGAGATAATAACAACCAACAGCAAACCAAGCAATCTGTAAAAATTTTGAAATTATTACTAATATGTTCATATCCAATGTAAACATATAATTCTAAATTTATAATAAAGCAGAAAAAAATAAATATATCTAAATTCTAATTTAAAAAATACATACGGCTCCTTCAGGATACAAATCAACTAATTTATGTGCCAGGTAAAACAGAGCTAAAACATTCAGAAAAAATTAATTAGAATTATTTTTAATATAAACTTGAAATAAAATCTTAATAAAATTAATAATTACCATTAGATTTTTTTAATTCCATTAAACATGATATATGAATTGGTAAACACTGATTATGATATGGATCTCTATTAAGAATACTGTCAAAATTTCATTAGAAATATTGTTAAATAATCCAAAAATTTCTAAAACTGATTCTTATAAATTTAAAACAATTCTTAAAAATCTAAAAGGAGAAAATACAAAAATATATACTTTAAAAATATTTGTAATTATTTCTTTTGTTTTTATGACAATTGTTACATATATGGAAAACCAAGCCATATATGTAATGAATTAATATGAGTAATATATGTAATATGGCATGAGTAATAAATTAATAAATATAGCATATTATTATGATTATAATTTGTATAAATTTATATACAGACAAATCTCAATACAGCAATTATAAACACAACAATAAATTCCACTATAACAATAAGAAATATTCCCTTTGCAATTCATATTACCTTAACAATATCCTCTACTCCAGTGTTTTTCAACCAGGATGCCACAGCGCTATGATTGGGGTGTCGCAAAGTTTAGGGCCTTTAGGCATTTTCTTAGAAATTTACTTAAGTGTAGTTCAAGATAACTCATTGTCAGTTCTATTTTGCTACGAGATATCTAGTAAGCAAAGAAACTATGACTAATCGCATGTTAATGTAATGTTCTACACTATGTGTACACACGACTTGTCACTAATTCACCCAAACCACATTGCTTGGCCTTCACATTCCCAGTCCCAGTATCAGGCCAACCAGCAGAGAAGAATGACGTGGACACTCGTGTCTCGTATATACTTTAAAAAGTGTTGCATTGTACTTTGAAAAGAGTGTGGTTTAAATCACAAAGTAGGTGCATATTACAGTATTTTCATAGTATTCAAAAGCAATGATGACAAATAAACAATTTTTTTTTATCATTTTTTTAATTTAAATTTTTTAAATTGATATGAAAAAGATAAAAAAAAATAATGAAATATTTATTTTATATATGCATCAAAACAGTATAAAAAAAACTTAACAAAAATTGTTTATCAATAAAATGCTAATATAAAATAATGATATACAGTAGAGCGTCGTTTATCCGAAAGCTGGTTATCCGAAACGTCCATTATCTGAAAGCATTCCAGTCAGCAAATTTAAATTTTCACTAGTGCTGTGGCGCTGCAATCTTCGGCTATTTCTCAGGCTACTCAAATATTTTACGTTTTTGATAGTAAATTAACATCTGAAGTATAATTTTTTATTGTTTTTATATTTTTCAATAAATTTATTTTGTTTGTACAAAATAAAAAGATAATTTTTAACGATACAATAGTCTTCGTTA